AATTTATTTAATAATAAATAATTTACTAATATATCATTATGCATATACATACATAATGATATACCGGTATACATAATGATATATACATACATATAACACATATAAGTACCTGTATTGTATATAAGGTATATTGCTTACCCTGTCAAATTGCATTCCAGCAACAACCCTGGTCCATGAGCAGTGGACAACGTAGCAGACACCCAGCCACATGAATATGATGAAGAGCATAAAGTGACGATGGTTATACTGCCCAACACAGTTAAACATCCAAGCTATTGGTTAATGATGTTAAGGAAGGTGATTTAATATAAGGTTTTTATGATTTCTCTCTCTCTCTTTTCTCTCTCTCTCTCTTTTCTCTCTCTCTCTTTTCTCTCTCTCTCTTTTCTCACTCTCTCTTTTCTCTCTCTCTCTCTCTCTCATCTGATACGACAATGATGATCCATTTTAAAGACACACCTGTATAAAATGAAAAAGAGAGAGAGAGGAAGGAGAGGTGAAAGGTGAAGGAGGAAGGAAGGGAGGGACAGAAAGGAAAGAAAATAAAAATTAAAAGTGCCGTGTGTACTTTCCAAACTTGTAACTATATACAAAAACAAATATAAAAGTAGAGTGAAATGAAAAAGTCGTTACAAAATTAGCATAAAATAAAGATATTTATGCACATAAACTGCAAAATGAGGAAGGCACAATACAAAGTAGTTACATTTACGTGTGTATACATGCGCTCTCTCCTCTTTCTCCCACACAACGTAATCGACACACACACACATTATCAATTATGAGATTGCTTCTTAGAATCATATATCATTTCCTCCGGCATACACATTTCTTAAATTCTTCAGTTGAACGAACGCACACATAATCACACATACACTGAGCAGTAATACAAGCTCAACAATAAACAGGCACTTTATGACGACAGGCACAAGTTTTGATGTAAGAGTATAGTAATTAGCAGCAATTCAAGAGGAAGCATTCGTGTCAACTTTAAGTGACACGTAATCACATCAGTGGTATTCAAAATATGCAGTGAATTTATTGCGTTACACGAACTGTCATTAGCAACAAATTAATTATCGGTAATTAATTATTCATCCAATTGCATTTTTGTGATTGAAATGTCGTCATGACTACTGATGGACATGACGTACTTGCCACAAATTCTGCAATGGTGAGCACGAGGAGGTTTACGAGCATCACCTGTGAAAGAGAAGGAGGGAGGGAAGATCATGTGTGTGTGTGTGTGTGTGTGACAGAGAAAGAGAGAAGTAAATGATAGTGATAAAATAGAGGTTCTTATAGACATAAAATTTCTTACACTTGTAGCAAGTTTTCCAGCCATTCTTGATCTGTAGGTCTGTTAGCTTTACTCCACTTCCCTAGAATGAGCAAATACAAACAGCATCAGTTTTATTATACTGTACATGAAAAAATGAATAGAGAGTTCTCCATAATACAAGGTATAGGGTATTTCGTCAAAAATAAAAAGTAGAGAAATCTCCATTTTAAAAATTTATTCTGATGCATATACATGTACTTATGTTGCGTTTCAATTTTGAGCTGATTCCAATCAAATTTGGATTTTTTTACAAATTTTTAAAATTACTCAAAAATCGGGCCAAAGTCCCTGTACTATAGTACAGGGATTTTAGCTAAATTTCGCCAAAAATGACTAGGAAAAAATTCTCCATTTTAATAATTTTTTCTGATACATATACATGTACTTATGTTGTATTTTAAGTTTGAGCTGATTCCGATCAAATTTAGATTTTTTATGAATTTTTAAAGTTACTCAAAAATTGGGCCAAAGTTCCTATGGAACTAATGGGTTTTTACTTGTCACGGATTTCGTGACAATGGAACAAATGGGTTTTTACTTGTCACGGATTTCGTGACAATGGAACTAATGGGTTTTTGCTTGTCACGGATTTTGTGACAATGGAACTAATGGGTTTTTACTTGTCACGGATTTCGTGACAATGGAACTAATGGGTTTTTACTTGTCACGGATTTCGTGACAATGGAACAAATGGGTTTTTACTTGTCACGGATTTCGTGACAATGGAACTAATGGGTTTTTACTTGTCACGGATTTCGTGACAATGGAACTAATGGGTTTTTGCTTGTCACGGATTTCGTGACAATGGAACTAATGGGTTTTTACTTGTCACGGATTTCGTGACAATGGAACTAATGGGTTTTTACTTGTCACGGATTTCGTGACAATGGAACTAATGGGTTTTTGCTTGTCACGGATTTCGTGACAATGGAACTAATGGGTTTTTGCTTGTCACGGATTTCGTGACAATGGAACAAATGGGTTTTTACTTGTCACGGATTTCGTGACAATGGAACTAATGGGTTTTTACTTGTCACGGATTTCGTGACAATGGAACTAATGGGTTTTTGCTTGTCACGGATTTCAGGTAAAAATCAGCCAAATTATATCAAAAATAAAAAGGAGAAAATTCTTAATTTTTATAATTTTTTCTGATGCATATACATGTTCTTATGTTGCATTTCAATTTTGAACTGATTCTGATCAAATTAGAATTTTTATTTTTTAAATTGAAAAAAATTAATTTTTCATTTTTATAATTTTTCTCATGGCATAAACAACATGAATGCATACACCAATAAATACGAGCATTACCTTGATAGATTTTCCAGGGTCAGTATAGACGCCTTTGAAGTAGTGAAATGTGATATTAATCAAGAGATAGTGACCATATATGAAGTAAAAAGTGAAAATTGGTCCACTCTCAGTTTTGTAGAGGAAAGGAACCATGTACGAGTAAAAGGTAAAGACGACCAATGAAATACCGAAAATAACTAGAATAAAACAAAACTGGGAAAAAAAGAAAAATTATTATTTTTTTAATATTAAAGGGTGTGGCCAATTATAGGCATGGCATGGGCGTGGTCGCCTTAATTATGAAAATTAATTAAAATAATGCTTCTTGTAGACAACACAAAACTAAGATTTTAAAACAACAAACACACAAAAACCTTACCATTCCTATAAGCCAGACGCTCCTCTCGCAGTAGTCAAAGAAAGGGTCGCAGCAAGCAGCCATCCATTCCAGGTGCCCGCCCCGCGGACTCCTACTGAGGGAAAGGCAAGGGAGACAGCAGGAGCGAGTCCATCCTTTTATCAGTGAAATGAATGAAGAGCAATGGAACCTCTTGAAAATACGAAGTCTTCTCATTTTTGCAAAAAGGCGTGGCTATGAGCTTAATAGTATCACACCCACACAATTTATTAAAATTTAATTTTTTTGATGCTAAAAAACACAGTTCACAAAATTTAAAAGATTACATGATGCACACATAATTTAGTCTGATGATTCAGAAATTGTTTTTTAATTTGTCTTCACAAGTCTTGACACCCAGTTGGTGAATGATTTACCAAGGCCAAGGAGAGATTTACCAGCAGAGACTGTCTCCTTGACTGGTTGAACCAACTGCTCAGTGACATTCTCCTTTAGCAAATGTGATCTTAGTAAAGGAATACTCTCCTCTGGGTTGACTCCACCGCAACTCTCCATACCAATAAAAACTAAAAAATTAATAAAATTAATGATGTAGCTTGATTAGTGTTTGTTTTCACTTTCACTCACAAAGTGTACGCTTTTCATTAAATTTCCCTTTCTTTTTCTTCTTCTTTGCCAACACTACATCGCCATGTTCAGTGAGACTCATCGGCTTGAGCCATTGACTTAATTCAAATTTTTGGTAAGTCTGCTCTTCGTCACTGAATGGCGTCCTTATCACAATGGTGCATGATTCTGGAATATTGTCTGGAGTGAGCCACATCAGAAAGGAACTGTACACGTAATATAACTCAGATGAGACAGCCATTATTAAGAGATCAACTCCTTTTAAAAGATCTTTGATTTCCTATAAAAATGCATAATCTCATCAAAAATGTTCATTTAATGCGGATTAAACTCACTTCTCTTTGGAAAAACATCATTATTCGTCCTCCAGCCATCACCTGTAGCTCCTTTTCTGGTGTAGGCAGACCAGGAACAACATCATTAGAGAGTCTGCCTTTATGGGAATATTGAATAACATCAATGGCTGTCTCAACTTTCATGGTGTATGTACGTAGACCAACTTCAGACATCCATTCATCATGAGGTTTAACACCTACAATAAAAAGTAGTGTTAATTTTGATAAATAAATAATAGTAATTTATAGTATATATGTGTACCTAGGAAGGCTACTTTTAACTCCTTGTCCATAGTTTCTTAGTTTGTAGGCTTTAATTTATGACAAACTGTGAGCCACAGAGCCGGTGTGTGAAGCATTGTCAAGCTGCTTGTTTTTATGCAGGACACATTCTAAAAATAGCAAAAAGTTAAAAATAGTAACAAGCATGACGTCTTGCTTCTATAAATAGTGACACGTCACAAGCGTTTAAAAGGTGGGGCTGCATTTGCAAGCTGAGCTTGCATGCATAATTGAATTAGTCACAAATTATGAATGAAGATGATATGTTCAGTGTTGCTTTCTTGGGTAAGTTTTATAAAGATAGAGTCTTATATATTTACATTTTTTGACTATAGGTATCAGTAAAACTCAAATTGGTACAGTAACTGAGGATTTGATTGGCCTCCGTACTTACAAACTGACAATAGACAAAATCATTAGCATTATAGAAAATGATGGACCAAAAGGTTTTGTTTTTCATATCTACAATGATCTTGATATTACTTATTCCAGGTCACTTAGATGATTCAAAATTTAGCATCACTCCAGAAAGGCAATGCCACATTTTCTGCAGTGGCAGAGAAAGCCCCTTCACATCAAGAGCAGTAAGTAGATACATGCAACAGTAAACAGGAAGGGTCACATACAGTTATGATATTATGTGTCATAGAGTTTATTAGCCTATAGAAAACAATTTTTTCCATATAGGAAGCAGCCAAAATGATTGAGGGAATTGATGTATTCATAATCTCAGCATGTACAGAGCTAGTATTTGCAAGACAGTTCCTTCAGTGGATTGATTATGCTAGTTTGCCTCAGTCAGCAGTAGTGATTGTAAGACTACCTTTTGCTGATGAAGAGAAGCCATTTTTAACGTACCATGCCTCATGGTGGCTCCAAGATATGGGACTTACTCCAGAGGGAAAAGAAACGAGGGGTAGTCGTGTAAGTAGGAAAATAAGAAGAAAGACTTGTAAGGATAAAATATGATTTTAAACAAATATTATGATATGTTTGCCTCTTGTAGTTGTACTTGGTTTGTCTGGTTATGGTGGCATGCCATTGAACGAAGGAATCACTGAAATACAGTCTCATTTGAGTTTAATTCAGAACAACAGATTGGCCAAATTTGACAAGCCAATTAAAGAAACACTTAACGCTGGACAGTCTTTATTCAATTCACTGACTAGTTGGCTTTTTAAAAGAACTCCTAGTTAAAAATCTTTACAATTATTTTTTGTTTTTATCATTCATTTGAAGTCCCATGCACATACATGTATAATCAAAATTTATCTTGCCAAACAAATTTTTATTAAACTGATAATAAATAATAATTGATAATAAATAATTATATTAATAATCCAAAGCATTAGTTGGTGTTGGAGCAATAGTGAATAATATACTACTCTCAATTGGTCCTGGCTCAAAGACTCCTCCTCCACTAGTTGTAGCAATGCATTCAGAATAATTACCATTAATGATAGACTCAGGAGGATGAAACATACTAGCAATACCAGCAGCAACCACTAGTACAATACCAAAAAGAAACACACTCCCTTTAGTTAATAGCAGTCGAACGTGCTGTGATTTTTTATTATGTGTAGGTTTGTGTGGGATTGAAGAGTCTGTATCTCCAGAATTTTGCGATAATAATGATTGTTCGTCTCCTTGTTCAGCCTCTCCTTCCTCTTCATCTTCAGCATATTTTTCTTGGGCAGTATCTTGCGAGGAGTCTTGCAATATTGCTTCCTTGGATTCTACTTATTTTTAAGGAAACAGAAAATTCATTCCTATGCAATTTTAAGCATATTAGTATACCTCTGCTGATGTCAGTGGTCATGCTAACAAGTTCAACTTCATCTGAAGTGCTGCCTCTTTCTTCATCTTCCATCTTTCTCTCTTCTTCTCCCTTTGATCTTAAAATAGCCTATATAACCAAAGAAAAAGAAATGTACAATCAAAATCCACAAATGTATTATTAATAATATTGACAAACTTGCCAATCAGTTTTGTTCTCCTAACCTTATCAGACTCCTTCTTCCAATTTAAACGGGCCATGAACACAAGCAAGCAAAATAGTTGAAAGTATGAAGCAGTTGCAAGGCCTGACCACATTCCCCTACTCCCAAGGTCTGTTAGTAAAGCTAGTGATATTCCAATTGGTAGGCCAATAATGTAGAAAGCAATAAAATTGATGACAGAAGCAAAGACCTGCTGTCCACATCCCAAGACTACACCTCTAAGGGACAACTAGAAATTAAATGAATGAATGAATAAAGAGAATATTTGAAGGTTCTGCATTACTTGGAGCTGGTCAGCAAACAATAAAATACAAACAATATCAACTAGTCCGGGTATTTTAGACAAAACTTCACTACAAATTTTGAAAAAAATTTATTAACATAAAAACCAAATAAAATTATTGAATACCTGTCTTTCGTATAAATTAGACCAAAATAAAACTTTGTTGCTTGGAGACAAATAACTTGAATAACAGTATTAGTAACTAAATTGATACAATGATCACGTGACCAAATAGCGAGCAACTTACAAACAACAGCCATTGCCACAAGAGATGCCCTTTTAGCATTTTGTGGGTTCCCTGCTCCTAACTCATTACCTATACGAACACCTGCAGCTATGGAAATACCCAATGGAATCTATAAAAATTAATAAAGAATATAGAATTAATATAATATATACTTGTTTAACTTCTTACCATAAATATTACCATAAGGACATTAACCATGATTGAGTTAACGGCTAGCTCAACTTCACTGATGCTTCCAAGGACAAATGCAGCTATTTCAAAACTGACCCACTCAAGACATGTCATAGCTACTCCTGGTATCCCCAGCTTTAAGAACTGGCCCCATTCATTTAAACTCTCCCAGCTCCAGCCTATAAAATATTGCTATCATTTTTTCATTACAAGATGTAGACTCTCCCTCTCTCTTTCTCTGTGTCCAATGAATGAAGAGCTTACCATCCCATGTCTTTGCATGCAGTTTCCTCAAACGAATGTAAATTATCAAAAATATTGCAAAGCAGTAGTATGACAACACCATCGAGATTGCAGCCCCACTTATTAATAAAAATTACAATAAACTCCAGAGTAATAACTAAGTGACTTACTTGACTCCCAAGTCTGCCCATACCACAAATATAGCATGAAATATTGCACAGGCAACATTACTAAGTGCACCAGTGAATATGAATGGCCACACTATACTCTATGTTGAAATAAATAAAAATAAAATTCTGTACTATTCATTATTATTTTTGGTACATATACCTGTGCTTGAAAATACTTCTGTAACATCCAGTACACAAAAAATGGCTACAAAACACAATTAATGCATAAAGCTACAAGATCTTCCTTGCTTACTGGCAATGCAAGACAAAATATTTGTACATATGTTCCTGAAAATCTAAAGGAAAGTATAAAGATGGGAAAGGTAGGAGACCAATAGACTTACTTTGCTACACAAGGTGCCTGCTGTAGAAGCAGCAGTATTGAATCAGTGTTCAACCATATGCAACAAACAAAGACACTAAGTAGCAGAAGTATCACTACGCCTTTAAAAGACATTCAAACATAATGACATATACATGGGATTCTTTGTGAATACCTCTCTGAAATATATGGCCAACTCTTTTATAGTTCTTATAACCAAAAGTCTAAATGTGAGTATTTGTCATACTTTTATGATTGGTGATAACTTACTTGAGAACAAAGTGTATCTGCTGCACTTGATAGACCTATTCCAACTGAAATTCCAGTAATATTACCAAACTGTGAATGAAATGCCACACACAAAATTGATAGCACACTACTATTATCTGTTACTTACTGAGCCAGCAAGTGCTATTATATGCACACAGGATCAGAGAAAGAGGGAAAGAAGAGAGAGGAAGAAAAGAAGACACAAGTCAAAAACAGTTTAACAAGACTGATATATGCTATATGTATGTTTACCAACACTGTCCAGTTCTAATGATCTGTCATTAATGTGACCGACAAAAATGAGAGAGATAAAGAGGATCATGTTTTGAAATACGAGCGTTAATATCTAAAAACGACGTGAATTAATAAGGCCACGTTCAAATAGTCTTACAATCGGTAGAGCTAGCTTTATTAGAGTAATGAGCTCCAGCTTGATCCAACCACATAGTGCCGTCTTTATCAATGAAAGTAATGATAATCTGACCTTTCCAGTTGTACTAGTAGCTACAGTAGGACCTAATGTAAACAAAAATACCTTGTTCCCAGCCTCTTTCCCATGCCATGACTTTCAGTATTCAACTCACGTGAATCAGTTTGTACTACCCAGCCGTTTACAGGAGAGCTCCCAACCTTTGCTTCTTCTCTGGCTACCTCTCCCATCTTTCACTACTCAAACGGACTGAGATCTTCTAATTTTTCCTCTAATAGACTGCTCCCTTTTTATACAAAGATGCGAAGGCTGAAGTTGCAAGAAGATGGTGCAATAGATCTTCATGATAATAATAATAAAGTAGGTGTGGCCAATGACAACTTTGATGGTATTGCACAAGCAAGCACAATTTCTGATGCTACTGATATTAACATTGATGAATTATGCAAAGAGGATAGCACTGATGTACATAAAGCAAAACAATCATGTCCTATTTTTAGCAAAAATAAATGCTGCAAGATTTTCATAGTCTTCCTAATGTGCTGCATCGTTTTCTCTACCTACGTTTTACTAGAGTTGCCAGTCGGCATGGCAAAGACTATCATAGAGGTATAATAAATACGAGTATGCATGCTACATGATTTATTCTTTTATTATAGGTTATGCAACTAACAACAACACAATACAACGTCCTCTATTCTTTATTTTTTCTGCCAACAATACTCCTTGCGCCAGTTGGAGGACTTATCACGGATAAGTTTAGAGCTGAGAGATCTCTGCCAATGTTTCTTTTGTCGTGCTGTTTGGGGCAGATTTTATTAAGTATTGGTAGTTTTCTGGGTCATTATTGGTTGATGATTGTCGGTAGAGTGTTGACTGGTGCTGGAGGAATGGTATTCGTATGTCTCTCCTCATACATTGCATCTTTCTTCACCAGACACATTAACCTGATGAATGGGATACTACTAGGAACTGCAAGACTAGGTGCTACACTCTCCGTCAATTTAAACAGTCAATTTTACTCTTCGTTAAGCTCACATGCAACCAATCATCATACAAGACTAGGTATTGTCCTACTGCTAAGTGTTGTACTGATTCTCATTGCTTTCATCTGCTCTCTGCTCCTATGGTACACACGCAGATATGTTAAACCAGCATTATATAAAAGGCGAAGTGTTACATGTAACTATCGCAACTGGTCTTGCCCTTCACTTTACTTTGTGGTACTAGCATTAGTTGCTGGTGTCTTCTATGCTGCTGTATTGACTCCAACTTCAGTTGGTGAGCTGTACTATATGCATAAGTACAGGATCAGCCTCGCCATATCAAACCTAATTAATAGTTTTGTTCACATCCTTCCTGTTTTCCTATGCCCACTATTTGGTTTAATCATCAATCAAGTTGGATACAATCCAGTATGGATACTCATTGCTGTGTTGACTGGTACTCTCAGTCATTTCTTATTAGCATACAGCAATGACAGTCAATCCTATGCTTACATTGGGTCTTTCATTGGAGGAGCTTCATACTCAATGTTCACCTCATCAATATGGCCCATGGTCTCACTGATAGTGAAGCCAGAGTTCATTGGACTTGGCTATGGGATTCAACAAGCAGTTATAAGTTGTTTTCAAGTGCTAGTGGCATCCACCGTTGGATCTGTAGCTGATAATTATGGATATTTTATGGTCCAGCTGTATTACATTGCACTCTCAATGATTTCGCTTTCATTAGTGCTGCTCTTAAACATGATAGACTACACTAGTCATCGTGAAAAAAGAGTCAATATGTCTAAGACCAAACGAAAACTTCGAAATAAAGAGAAGCTCTAAAACCAAGCTGTGAGAGAACGAGTGAGTCTTTTTACACAATAAATATAATTGTAATGAATGAAATTTTGAGTTAATTTACACTAAGTTTTTGAAGTTGAGCTACTAATATTTGATTTACTCTTTAACCTCTTTCTTAATACCGGCTTCCTTTTTGACACAAAAGACATCTTTCTTTTGTCATTTCTTAAGTGACGCGAAGGCCTAGAGGGACAGTGCTGCTTCTTGTGATCGAATGCTCCACATACAAAACAACCAGACTTCCTCCTAACATATCACACACAGACTAATGCTATATTATAATCATTTCCTTACATTGACTTCTGCTGACAATCATGTTGTGATGGCTGGCAGGATTTGCATGTTAAGCAATGATCATGAGCTGAAGAGGAAGAGAGAGAGAGAGGAAGAGGGGGAAGGAAGATAAAGATGAATGTTGATCAATTATAGTGGCATGAGTCATTACTTTCTTTAACACAAGTACCACATTGATGACAATGCTTATATGATCTTCCATCCTACAAATAAAAAAGAACTACATTAATACATAAAATTCTTTTGCTTACTTTTGAGGTGCAACAATCACAAATTGAGCAATGTTCATTCAAAGAGCTCACATAACGATTACACACTGAGCAATACCTAATAGCACATAGCAAACAAAAATTTAAGCCTCTCTCGATCTCTCTCTCTAACTAACTTGTATCCTTCATCAGTAGGTAACACAAGACCGGGTAATGGAATATTAGTAAAGAAACGGACAGGAGAGGGTTTACCCTTCTTGCCATTGTCACCATAGTAGCGATGGTTTCCATAGGTTACCTAGTAGACTGGATTAGACAGGTGGCATGGAGCGAGGACGGGAGAGAGAGAGAGAGGGTGTACCTGATAATCAAGCATAAGAAATGTAGGGAATGATTCAGTGACATGAACTTCATTGAAGTATGGAAACACAAGGAGAGTAGAACACTCTATTGCAATGAAGAAAGTATAATGTGCATTAGAATAAACTCTGGCAAATAATTAGTATAGTTTTGATGCCGCCATGCATACATGTATAGTAGTTCTTCAATCAGAATTAGCTCCAATATAAAACAGTACTGCATGTCATTATAAAACTCTTAATTGGTAAAAGATCATTACCGGTTCCTATTAAATTCCAAATGATGTCCACTCCAGTTCTCAATGCATTCAATAGACCACCAAATGGAGGATCGATTATAAGTAAGATCCTATCTTGAGGCACAGACTCAATGAATCTCATTAGTGACTCCTTTCCCTTTCCTTCGTCATAAAAGAATCCGTTGAACATATTGAAGCGCTGAAACACTTCCCCTCCATAAAACTGATGCTAAAAATAATTACCAACACCACCATAGGAGGTTAAAGAAATAATGCGCTTACAAATCTGTGATCAATATCAAGCAGGAAGCCTTTAATTCCAGCCCCTGCTAAAGCTTCAAAAATCCTTTTAAATAAAAGCATTATTTGTATACATACATAAAGACATTGTATACTTTGGTGTCCCTAGACAAATGGCATGTGAAAAATTCAACCTCTTCATCTCAGATAGAATGAATGAGTGGGTTTTGTCCGAAAAGAAATATTGCTAAAAGTGTGGAATTAACTTTTTAAAACATTATTATTTTATGTACTGCTTGTCCTTTATTATCACTGGCTGGGTATAACAACAGAGTTGGTTGCTGTGCCTCTTCCTTTGTAATCCTCTCTCTATGTGAATGTTTGTTATGAATGTGTCCATCTTTATCAGTGGCATACAACAAGCTGCACTCTATGCAGAAACTAATGGAATTGATTGGAGGAGCTGCACTACTACTACTAGATAAAGAAACAGTATGGGATTGAGTAAGTGAAGCCTGATACTCTCTATAGAGACTCATGTAGTGCTCCCTCTTCTCTCCTGAGAGTGGCTGATCAGTGTAATGAAAGAACTGGCAGCCTTTTCTGTTTCGATGGACAGCGCAAGCATAAAACTGTCTGCTGGTGTGCTTCTCTTGGTAATAGCGTCTGAATACTAATGTAGGACCTGGGATTGGTGTTTTTTAACTGTTGGTAAGGATAGGATTGTTTTTACCATGAATACAGTATGGAGGTGAATCAGAGACAGCAAGATCACCTAGTTCCACTCTGGCAGCCATGTTTTGGAGGGAGAGCTTTATGCGCATGCGTGAGTTTGACTTTTTCCCGGGTAGTCTAAAGTTATGAGCATGCGCAAAACTTCTATTCTTAACCCTTTTCTAACTAAGTTTTGCAGCAAGAATCTCTTACCACGTGTTGCCAAGATGATGGTAAGTTCATCAATTCTCACCATCAAAATTATTGTTTTATTTATTTACACAGAAAGCACCTATTATACTGTTGAAGGAAGGGACTGATTCCAGCCAGGGAAAGTCTCAGATTATTAGTAACGTCAATGCATGCGAGGCTGTAGTTGATGCTGTACGGTCTACACTTGGACCTAGGGGAATGGATAAACTAATAGTTGACGGACACGGTATAAGCAAAAAATTAATAACGATATAATTAATTAATGGGCGGGGTAGTTGGCTGAGAAGCAAAGGGCGTCGTACCTTTAATTAGAAATTAATTATAATTCCCACTAGGGAAAACTACTATATCAAATGACGGTGCTACTATTATGAAGCTGTTGGATATTGTGCATCCAGCTGCCAAGACTCTTGTTGATATCTCTTTATCGCAAGATGCAGAGGTGAATATATGGTTTAATTTAATTTGGGCAAAGATCATGTACTATAGTACAGGGTTATTTTGCCAAAAATGAAAAGGAGAATTAGCCGTTTTAATAACTTTTCCTGATGCATATACATGTTCTTATGCTGCATAGAAAGTTTGAACTGATTCCGATTAAAATTGGATTTTTTACGAATTTTTAAAGTTGCTCAAAAATCGGCCAATGTCCCTGTACTGTAGTACAGGGTCACGGACCAAATTTTGCCAAAAATGACTAGGAGAGAATTCTCCATTTTTATAACTTTTCCTGATACATATACATGTTCTTATGTTGTGTAGAAAGTTTGAGCTGATTCCGATTAAAATTGGATTTTTTACGAATTTTTAAAGTTGCTCAAAAATCAGGCCAAAGTCCCTGTACTGTAGTACAGGATCACGGACCAAATTTTGCCAAAAATGACTAGGAGAGAGTTCTTCATTTTTATGACTTTTCCTGATACATATACATGTTCTTAAGTTGCATAGAAAGTTTGAGCGGATTCCGATTAAAATTGGATTTTTTACGAATTTTTAAAATTACTCAAAAATCAGGCCAAAAACCAAAGGCTAAAGTACTTCCTTTAAAAGAGCATTTTATAATTAACAAAATAATAGTTTATAAAGCTCCCTGCCTCTCCTATCTCTACAGGTCGGTGATGGTACTACCTCAGTGGTCCTCATTGCTGGTGAGATACTAAAGAACTGCAAGCCGTTTGTCGAGGATAATGTCCACCCTCAGATCATAGTGAGGGGACTGAGGAGAGCAGCAGAGCTGGCACTGAGTAAACTGACTGAGATATCAGTACAAGTGAAGAAGGATAACCCAGAGTGAGTGAAAGGAGGAGAGCCCCTTTAATTATGAGAAATAATGAAATGAATAATAGTTGTACTACATGATAGAAAGTGTATTTATTAGTAGTATTTTTTTTTTTTTTTTTAGTATTTTTGGAATTTTTAAAGTTATAATAGTCTCAACACTACATCAGTTGCATGCATGGTCATTTTATAATTATAATAATAATAATAATAATAATAATAATAATAATAGTAATTCATGTAGTAGAGTGTTCATTTATTATTTTTATCTAATGTTTAGGGAGCAGAGACAGCTCCTGGTAAAATGTGCTGCTACTTCTCTGAGCTCGAAACTGATCGCTCGTCAGAAAGAGTTTTTCTCTGAGATGGTAGTGAACGCTGTTAGCTTGCTTGACGATATGCTCCCACTTAACATGATCGGAATCAAGAAAGTGACAGGAGGATCACTAGAGGTAGGAAAGGAGGAGAGAAGAGGAGAAGTTTAAAAGGTTTAGAATTGCATTAAGTGCTACAGTTTAAAATTTTTTGATGGAAATCAGAATTATAATGTAATCCATTGACAATTTTTTAATCAGAAAAATTTGCTTTTATTATTATTATTATTATTATTATTACTATTTATTATTATTATTATTTAATTAGGAGTCCCAGTTGATAGCTGGTGTTGCATTCAAGAAGACATTCTCTTATGCTGGTTTTGAGATGCAGCCAAAGAAGTATCAGAATCCAAGGATAGCTCTCCTTAACATTGAACTGGAGCTTAAATCTGAGAAGGAAAATGCCGAAATACGCATCGACAATGTTGAGGTACGGTATACCTATTGGAATTATCTCAACAAAATTTTATTATTTTTATTCAATTTTTTTGGCCACATTCTTGGTCAAAATTGTCCTAGAAAATAGAAAATTTTTTCCAGTTTTTAACTGATAAATTATATCATTTTTGTGTTGTTGATATGTTGTTACAGGAGTATCAGAGTATAGTCGATGCCGAGTGGAGTATACTTTATGAGAAACTGGAGAAGATAGTCGCCAGCGGAGCTAAAGTGGTCCTTTCCAAGCTACCGATTGGCGATGTCGCTACTCAATATTTCGCTGACAGGTTTAGAAATAAATTAAAATAATACAATACCATTTAATCTTGATGCATGCTTAGGCATCCTTTTTGAAGCTGTTCTTACTCTATTTTTTAAAAATTAATTATTAATGAATATGATTTTTAGGGACGTGTTCTGTGCTGGTCGGGTTGTTGAGGAAGATTTGAGGCGGACCATGAAAGCTTGTGGTGGCTCTATTCAGACTACAGTCAATAACCTCACCACTGATGTATTGGGATCTTGTGAGTCGTTTGAAGAGCAACAAATCGGAGGAGAAAGGTTGTTATTATTATTATTATAAATGAATGTATAATTATATAAAATAATTATTATTTCTTGTTAAGTTATGTTTTAGCTCTAAATTAATTTTCTCTCTTGTTAAAAAATGAATCTTCTTGTCTGTTCTTTTTTTTGTTGTGTAGATACAATTTATTCAAAGGCTGTCCAGAGGCAAAGACGTGCACGTTCATATTAAGAGGAGGAGCTGAACAATTCATTGAAGAAACAGAGAGATCACTCCATGATGCCATCATGATTGTGAGGAGAACAATAAAGAATGATGCAATAGTAGCTGGTAAGACAAAGAGAAAGAGTACTGAGCACAAGTCCCTGTACTATAGTGCTGAGTCGTCCAAATTTTGCCAAAAATGACTAGGAGAGAATTCTCCATTTTTATATTTTTATCTGATACATGTACATGTTCTTATGTTGTGTAGCAAGTTTGAGCCGATTCTGATCAAAATTGGATTTTTTATGAATTTTTAAAGTTTCTCTAAAATCGGACAAAAATCCCTGTACTATAGTACATGGTCTCGGGCCAAATTTTGCCAAAATTGACTAGGAGAGAATTCTCCATTTTTATGGTATTTCCTGATGCATATACATGTTCTTATGTTGTGTAGCAAGTTTGAGCTAATTTCGATCAAAATTGGATTTTTTATGAATTTTTAAAGTTATTGAAAAAGTCATGCCCATGAAGCATGTTGTTGTGTATAGCTCTTACTTAGCATCCTTTGTGGAAACCCTGCTCACTCAACTTGTGTTACAACCTGAAATGCTATGAACAATTGGTCAAACTGGTGCATAGATATAATCTCTCTCCCTTTCTCTCTCTTCCCTCCCCAGGTGGTGGAGCAGTTGAGATGGAGCTAAGCAAGTACTTGCGTGATTTCTCGCGGACTATAGCCGGCAAAGAGCAGCTCATCATAGCAGCTGTTGCTAAATCCCTTGAAGTCATTCCTCGTCAGTTATGTGACAATGCTGGCTTTGACTCTACCAACATTCTAAATAGACTGAGGCAGGCCCACGCTCAAGGTAACACGATGTATTCTTTAACAATCAATTGAAGATTTTTTACCTTTTTCTTTCTTTTTCTCTTGCTCTCCATTAGGTAAAATGTGGTTTGGTGTTGATATCACTCGTGAAGACATTGCTGATAATTTCTCTTCATTCGTTTGGGAGCCAGCCATTGTCAAACGTAACTCAATCACAGGAGCCATTGAAGCCGCCACACTCATCCTCTCTGTTGATGAAACCATTAGGAACCCAAAGTCATCATCTGACGGACCCCCAGGGGCCCTCCCTTCACGTGGGCGGGGAGGAAAGCCACGTAGAGACCTTCCCTAATATAATATTGAACTGTATTTTGATGATTTCAGTTGTTGAGGATTACATGTATTATTATCATTATTATTATTATTAGTATGATAGTTGATGTTTTGTTTTGAAAATGGGTTTTCCAATAGATGCTACTTTTAATTAAATGTGCTGTATGTGCATGCATTTACGTAGTGAGGAAAGAAATAATTTTTTAAGTGCAAGTATAATATTTGTTAAACTGTTAATTGGAGGGTGCCAGAAAAAATAATCTCTGCAAGTCACTTGTTAACACCTCAAGGTGTTAACAAGATGCTAATAAGGTGTAAACAGTATATTAACAAGGTGTTAACAAGATGCTAATAAAGTGTGAACAATATATTAACAAGGTGTTAACAAGATGCTAATAAGGTGTGAACAATATGTTTAAAAGGTGTGAACAAGCTAACAAGGTGTTAAAAAGGTGTCAAAAAAATTTTTTTAAATGAGCAACTTGTGCATAATTATTTTTTTGCAACATTGCAACAAAAATATTTTCTGTCATTTCTGCTCTTTTAATTATAGAGACATCTTTAATTTATTTGTTTTAAAAATAAAAATAATTTAATAATTATAAGGAATATAATAATATCGTCGGAGTTATAATGATAATAAAGAATTAACACAATGAAACGGTCTATTCAGTTTTTTCTAAATTTATCTAAAGTCGCTTGGACTTTCACTCCTTTGTTTCCATGACAACGTTCCTGTATCCACTTGGCACACTGTGACTCAGCAGTTCTCCTAGCAGTGGCCCCTCCAACTGTTGAAATGACTCGTTGAGGACTCAGACTTTGAACGAAAGTCCTAAGCTCCGAGAAACTGCTATGTTCGCTGTATGGGACACCTTATAAGGTCATAAATAAGTAATTATTAATAAGGAGGCACACCCACTACTTACCGTACATGGTGACCACGCCTCTCACAACTGGTCTAATGTCTTGCAGTGAGTTGTGTTTGGTAGTTGCCGTCCAGCCAGTTGGTTTGAAAGCCAGTATGGAAGTATAGTGAGTTGAATAATGTCGAAGATATAGAGTGAGTTCCTATAATAGAAAAATAAAATAAAATGATGGATTTATTAAGAAATTCAGTACATACATGTACATTGTACATGTATTATAGCCAGATTATGAAAATACATACTGGTAAATACATATATCATTATACTATTCTTATTATTATCTACCCCTCCATCAGTGGTAGATGGTTTTATTTAACTTTGTTTTTATTGTACATGTAGTCTCCTTTTCTGTTAATTAATTAATTTATTTATTATTATTATTATTATTATTATTATTATTATTATTATCATCACTTACCTCTACATTCATTTTATTCAGTGACATTACATGTATTGGTGAGGCCAATGGTGAATGGCAATTAACTACTGACATGATCTCCTTTGATTCTAAACACTGAAGTATCTTGTACCTCTCCTTGCTAACATAACACTGGCAGCCTAATGAGTTAGCAATAGCTAGGGAAAGGGAACTCATTTCAATCATTATTATTATTATGTTTAACTAATGTATGAATTCAAAATCTCCCATCTACATGGACTAATAGTAATATATACATGCATAATACTAGCCTTACTTGATACTAGTGGAATAGTAAAATTTTAAAGTTTGCTAAAAAAAATTGGGCCAATGAATGACCAAAGGCTTTGGTCATTGGCCCGACTTTCAAGCAATTAACTTTAAAAATTCGTGAAAAATTCAAATTAGATTGAAATCAGCTCAAAATTAATTTGCAACATGAGAATGTGTATATGCATCAGAAAAATTATAAAAATGGAGAATTCTCTACTTCATTTTAAAAAAAATTCGACCAAGGACTAAAGGCTTACAGCCTTGAGTATTTTCAAAAAATGGCCCGTTTTTTAAAATGACCATAACTTAAAAATTTTTTATCGGAATCGACTCAAAAGTTTCTACACAGCATAAGGACATCAATATGTATCAGAAAATGTAATAAAAATTGGGGGTGATTTCGGAGCCATTTTTCGGAAAAACCAGCTCGTTTTAAAAATGACCATAACTTGAAAATTTTTCATCGGAATTGGCTCAAACTTTCTACACAGCATAAGGACATCAATATGCATCAGAAAATGTAATAAAAATGGGGGGTGATTTCGGAGCCATTTTTCGGAAAAAACCATGGGCTATAGCCTTGGGTATTTCTCAAAAAATGGCTCGTTTTTAAAAATGACCATAACTTGAAAAATTTTGATTGGAATCGACTCAAACTTTCTACACAGCATAAGGACGTCAATATGTATCAGAAAATGTAATAAAAATTGAGGGTGATTTCGGAGCCATTTTTCGGAAAAAACCATGGGCTATAGCCTTGGGTA